TATCACTTGCTGTGGATGTCACAATTCCTTAGTGTTGTGAAATTAAGTTCAAGTTATTTTTCTTTGTTTCTGTATCTTGGACTCCAATTTCGGTTCTACAAGGATATTGAAGATCTGCACGTGCATTCGAGAGTAAGTTTTTGACATAAAAGGATAAGTCTTCAGTGTCTGACTAATGGATTTCCGCCACATGATGAAAAAAGACCTTGGTTCTCTACACTATTTTGTAGGCCTTGAGGTTTAATCCTATGCGACGGGTATTTTTCTTCATCAGCACAAGTACATTATTGACTTAATTTCTTCATCCGGTCTTACGAACGCCACTCCAGTTTATACTCCTCTTGAGGTTAATATTAAATATCATCGAGATGATGAGGATTTATTATCTGATTCATTATTACAGCGTCCTAAATTACGTTGCCTTTGTTGTCCAACTAGTGAGTCAATTTGTGCAAACTCCTAAAGTTTATCATTACCTATTATCTTCCACACATGCATATATAATGCATTGATATATGCACATGTTTTTTCCTTTCTTTTTCAATAATTAAACCTTTTTGCTGCTTTTCATCCTCTTCCGTTCAATTATCATTAAATTAACTATCCTTTAATAATCTTTAATTTCATTTTTTCATATGTCAAATAATTTGAAACATTATAAGTAGATATATAATATTTAGTCCTCCAAATTTTATTTTGTAGTGGTCGCTAACATTTTACATTTGACTGGTGGTACTGAATTATATTATTGCATTTTTTAATTTTTATTTTTCATTTGTAGTATATGTGTTGTGGTTTAATAGTTATGTAAATATGTATCTACTGATTAATTCAAAGGAGTATTTGTTTAATATAATTTGTTAGGTTTATACCGGGTATGTTGTTGTTGTTGTTGTTGTTGTAATTTGTTAGGTTTATCTTTTGATGGAGTATTTTGGTGGCTCAAAAATTTATCAAGGAGTATTTGTTCTTGATTAAATAAAGTAAACAGCCTTATGTTGCTTTGATTGCTTTAATCAGTCATATGAAAATTGTATGTTAGCATGAATATATCCTTTAATGAATCGTGCATTTTTATATGTACTCATCACTCTTTCAACCTACATCTGAGGTGAATATTTTACTCAGCCCCTAATAAAGTACCTAGTGATTCATTTGATACTTTCCTTTCCCCATTGGTCACCAAAACTGAAGATTCATACACAAGGTGCTGCATACTAGATAGCGTTAAAGAACTCTGATAAAACTATCTCTATTGTGGGCTTGTATTTTGGTATTTGTAATTGCTGCTGGTGTCAAATTTCTGCTTAGAAATGTTTATGCATAACAATTGTCTGCTACCCTCTGTATCAACAACTTCAATGCTTCTTAGTAATGGCTGTTTGTGAAGTGCCCATCTTTTGTGTGGTGGGATTAAAGTGGGTGCTGATGTTTGCCGTATAATTGTATATACATCATGTGGATCCTTTATTTTGCTTCAGACAGCTGGACGGAGTGCCACCGTTGCTAACAAAATGCACGGTGATTCCATCCAAGATGGCTGTGCCGATAACATCACAAATTTATCCACAAAGAATATGCTCTCTGAAAAGGAGAAAGAAGAGCTTATGACATTACGGGACCAAATGGAGGATCTGAAAAGGCAATTATCAGAAAAGGAAGAGCATCTGAAATCGCTGGAGTCCTCAAAAAGAGAAATGGCCGCCATTCAGATGAAGCTCGATGAAGTCAGAAATGAGGCTGCAGAAAAGGACTCGATGATTAAGTCAAGTCAACTGCAGCTTTCTGATGTGAAGGTATGGAACATTTTGTTTAACCTTTCACCTTCCACGTACTCTTGACATCATCCAAACTGCTTGCCCACCAATTACCATTTTAAATTAGCTATAGCAAGTTTCTTGCTCTGCCGGTAACCTGCTAGAGAAGCATGTTTTATTCTTGTTCATCCCTGTTATAACATGTGAACAAAATTACGTATTTTCTGTTTCTGTTCCTTTCTACATTTTGATGTTTAAAAGAACTGAATTTATACTGAAATGCACAATTTATCATCATGGATTTTGCGTCGGCAGAATTGAAACAATGAAAAATGGAGATTATCTACTTCTCTGTTGGGTGATAAATCATAACTTCATAAGTATTAC